CACTGGAGGACAGAAGGGTCAGGGGAGACATGATAACGACATACAAGATACTGCGGGGAATAGACAAGGTGGACAGAGATAGGATGTTCCAGAGATGGGACACAGGGACAAGGGGTCACAACTGGAAGCTGAAGACTCAGACGAGTCACAGGGACGTTAGGAAGTATTTCTTCAGTCATAGAGTTGTCAGCAAGTGGAATAGCCTAGCAAGTGAAGTAGTGGAGGCAGGAACCATACATAGTTTTAAGAAGAGGTATGACAAAGCTCAGGAAGCAGAGAGAGAGAGGACCCTGTAGCGATCAGTGAAAAGGCGGGGCCAGGAGCTGAGTCTCGACCCCTGCAACCACAATTAGGTGAATTAGGTGAGTACACACACTCGAACGAGAAATCACACAGGCTAAGTGTTTATCGACAAGAGCCTTTGACAACTAGTAACTACTACACACACAAAAACAACAGAAAAACGACACTTAACCGTTGATTCGACTCCCTGACTTAGTAATGACGTTGCCACGAGTGGGAATTCGTTTAAAATACGACATTGTACACGAATACTTCGTACCATAATTCTTTCTATCCCTTCCTGACACTTTCTCTCTCTCTCTCTCTCTCTCTCTCTCTCTCTCTCTCTCTCTCTCTCTCTCTCTCTCTCTCTCCTCTCTCTCTCTCTCTCTCTCTCTCTCTCTCTCTCTCCATTTGTGATGGAAAGAACTTGAAGTAGACGATAGTCTATCCCTGTATCGAGATCAAATGTTATTATATCTTTCTGAAGGATGAGAGATGACGCAAGTCTCTATACTGTGGAAACCTGGTGTTTAATGTGAAACCAGAAGTAAAACATTCACCTTTTTTCTTTCTATAACCATTACGTCTCCCGTGTACACAAGGATAAAATATTTAGCAAACCCTTTGCCACAAATTGCGTGTTGGGAGAGTAAACAATGAACAAGAAAATCCCTCAGAAGATCCACGAAACCGGCAGTCAAAAATTAAATCGAAGGACTCTCCCTCTCCTTACAAGGACACGGTGACGTGAGGTGGGTCAGGGGCGCTCGGGAGGGTTGGTAGGGTTGTCAGGGTCCTGAGAGGAGGGGATAAGGTGTGTGTAGGTGAGTGGGGGTACAAGGAAGGGTGAATCAACACCGCTACACGGGGAAGTGATGGCCGGGTGCTGGAATGCTGTGGGCAGTACACTTGACGTATGACTTCGCGAGAATATACACACGTGGCAGGACAAGCTTTTCTTTGGACAGAGTTTCGTTTTACCACATCACTGACTGAATAAAGCTTTAAACGCTTTTGGGACGAAACTTGAGAGGACACCTCATGGGAAAAGCCTTAGATGACGCAGGGCAGAGAACGAGACGTTGTGCAATAACTTGAGTGGATCATAGGCAGGTTGGTTCCGGGGAAGAAAAGCTACTAATGACACACTTCGTTCCTTTTCGTAAGGTAATTAATGACTTGCTGGTCTAAAAATAATAAAAACTCACTTTAGGATAACTCATTTGTATGACTATAATAAGACTTGCATAATAAAACTGATAACAGCCAAATAAATTACTTTACAAAAGTCGACTGTAACTTGTGTCTGTGTCAAGCATTAGAAATAATATCAGGAGATAAATAATGAATTTTAATGTCATAGATATCCATTTAGAAGCTTTAGTACATCTAAACCATACCCCCGGTCTAGTGGCTAACGCGACGGGCTGGAGTTTTGAGACTCTATGACCGCGGGTTCAATCCCGGCCGGGGGTATGGTTTGTTTGCAATCGTGTCATTACGATTTCTTGAGTCTTAGTACATCTGTAATCCACTACGTAACATGAGCGTAAATAAACCCATACACTCAGCAAGTTGCAATGTAAACGGTCTAACAGATGTTAGACAATACATTAACGTCTCAAATATATCAAAGTATCTTATTTCTAACTAAAGTAGATGCCAAAACTTTTAAGCAAGCATTCTGAAGTTTCTTGTAAACAGGTAAATTAAGTACAATTTGTAAATAATATACAGTCAGATGTGCACTCTGCCAACCCTATTAATCTATTTCTTATGCCTTTTGCGCATTCATACTCTGTTGCGCTACCATGCACTGAATAAATGAATGATGCGCAGTAAACTAGACGCTTCGCCGACAAAATCGATAAATCTACATAAACTTCCCGCCTGTCTCGCAGGCTGCGGCTTGACTGTGCAAGAAAAGGATGTTAAATTCTGTATTAAAAGCATCAGATTTATTATACAACCTTCGATTATACTTCTTTCAGCCCTCCTCGCTGTCCTTACAAACTCTACCCTGCAGCGCTGTATGACCCTGGTGGGTACAGCGCATAGTTTTAGTTATTATAAATTGTGTACTGAAGGACGTATTTTCTTCCAGCAGGAATTAATTATGGAAATAAATGGTATGAAATACCGACACAATGGAAATATAAACACATATGCAGTATAATGTGGTCCTTTATTGACAACGTTTCTCCCACACAGTGGGCTTTTTCAAGTCACAAACAGATCTACCTGGTGTGGAAGGTACGTGAGTATTTATAGTCAGGTTCAGAATGTTGAGGTCAGGTGGAGAATGCTGCATCTGATGTACCGAGTGGGGTTATAGAGTCTAAAATCCTGACTATAAATACTCGCGTCCCTTTCACCCCAGGTAGATCTGTTTGTGACTTGAAAAAGCCCACTGTGTGGGCGAAACGTTGTCAATAAAGGACCACATTATACTGCATATGTGTTTATATTTCCAGGAATTAATTATCATAGAGATATTGAGACACTTCAACCTCTCTATGTACTCACCAGCATCAAGACAACGGCCACACACAGTTTATCTGAAAAAAAAAAAAAAAAAATTATCAACAAAGGTTACAATTACTTTTGTGAAAAAAATACCTTGCGAAAATATAACACGTGATTTTCTTAGCGTGTTTTACTGCACGACAACACCGAGACTACCGTAAACAGTGAAAAATCTAAACATGTAATGTTTACTGAGATGTGTGCGCGCCCTCGGCACAGAATGTTTTCAAGAGCAATAACTCTGTTTTATTAATAAACAAGCTTGCTTCCAAAATCCAATAGAATCTTAAACAAGAAATAGAAGATTTGACAGTACCACACTATTGTACAAATTCGAAAACCAGGCAGGAGTAACAGGGAATGCACTACAGTGGATAAATAAGTACCTAACAGGAAGCAGTTATGCTGAGAGATAAAGCACTCAGATGTGCGAAAGTAAACAGCCAGGGAGGCTCTCAAAGATCTGTTCTTGGGACCTAGACTATTCGAGAAAGAATAGCATCATACCTATCAACTTATACACACGAAATAATGAGAGTATGAACATAGTACTAAAGCCACAAAGAGAAAAAAATTGAACAGGTTGCCGGAATGTTTAAAAAAAAATGTTGGTAAAATTCAACTCCTGTAAATGTGATGATATGAAGAGAGGAAAGTAGATTGGTCAGGACATATCACGTGACAAAATTAAGTAAATGAACAATAAAATAGGACCTGGGGTGAACATCACACCCAACCTATCCTCCTGGTGAACATACGGATAAAACAAGGCCATCATACAGAACACTAGCAAATCCAAGGATTTCCTTTAGAAATCTGCACAAAGAATCTTTCATAATGCTATTCACTGGGTGCAAAAGACCGCTCCCTGAATAAGAAGAGCCATCGTTAACCCCCATACTTGGAAAAAACACATGAAGAAAATATAGAACTTTCGAAGATTTATCACCAGAGAAGAACCGAAGCTGAAAAACAAAAGACGGATACGAATACGTAGAAACACATATACGAAGAAAGTCCGGAACAGCTGTGCCACATAAATATCAGGAAACACTTTCACAACTTCAAATAAATAACAAAGTGGAACGGTATCGTAATACGATTGAAAACAAACCACGGAAAGGGTGGGGTATGAACCCTTGGGTTCCGTTCCGTGATTCGAAGTGGAACGGACTCGAGAACGACATAGTGGAAACTAAGACGGTACACGGCTCCAAATAAAAACATTGTGTCAGGACTTGCCATATTTGAAACGGTCCACTGTAAGAGTCAACCTGTATCACTGATAATAAACTTAATACCGTGTACAGTAAAAAAAAAAATCCTTAATTCATAGTAACCTAGGTGGTCGTCAGGACTCCTTCACGGTAACCTAGATAATCGTCAGGACTCCTTCACAATAACCTAGGTGGTGGTCAGGACTCCTTCACGGTAACCTAGACAGTCGTCAGGACTCCTTCACAGTAACCTAGGTAGTCGTCAGGACTCCTTCACAGTAACCTAGGTAGTCAGGACTCCTTCACAGTAACCTAGGTAGTCGTCAGAACAGAATAGAAAGTGAAGCGATGCTTTCTGAAAATTTTCACCAATACCACCTGATCAAATGGATGAAAGGACAGAAGTGCATACAATGAGAACGCTTTTTGCTAAATACGTCTCAGTCCTGAGACCTTGATCACCGCAAATGAAGAGAGAGAAAACAGTATGTATAATGGAGAACGCAAGTCATTGGTGAAGGTCGGGTGAAGCAGTCAGGTCATCTAATTGCTATGTAACGTAGCAGCAGCGTGGAATAGTTTCATGTGTGCTAGGGGGTAGCTGACATGATGTATTGGTCAGTGTTTCGGTCTGTGGTGTCATGGTTTTAGAAGTAGTAATTAAGGATGTGTGAATACAGTGTAATCTATCCCTGTTGTACTCTCAGTATCAGTATTTGTATATTGTTCCAGTCACGGTATTATGCCTTATTGTCATTGCGAACTTTATCTTATTGACTCAACTTATTGTGAACTCTCTTCCGAATAATTCTGAGGCTATATTGTATGACTCTGATGTTGTTGGCGTCTTAGAGTAAACATACAATGTGTTGACTTGGGGCTGTGCTCTGTGGCCTTGACGGAGCCACTTACCTGCTGTTCCTCATATGGTCACCGGGTTTTTGTCTGTGTTATCCCGTGTATGTGATATCTTGGGATACTGAAAGGTAGTGATCCAGTTTTGTATATATATGGGATGTAAAGTCTCGCTCCGGTAAGTCGGTGGATGCTTGGTCACGTAACTGTAAGTCTTGTGTCAAGAGAAATCAGATTTCTTGAAGTGCGAACCGCCCCACCCTCCTGTTTGTGCTTGTATGTGTTTTTTTTTTTTTAACTTGGTATGACAGTGTATTAAGTGTTTATGTTTATCCTCGTTTTCATTGTGTGTATTTGTTCATGGTTATGAGCGGTGAATGACAGTGTAGTCAAAGCGCCCAGCAAATGTCACTATTACTACGTTTGTATGTGTGTATAGTTATCTTTTGAGTTTGGTAGGAAAATAAGCTCTGTATGAGTGCATGTTTTTTTTTTTTTTTTTTTAGGTAGGTACAGGAGTAGAGCCATGCTCGTGTTGTCTCGCCTCCCGTGTTATATCTGCCGTACAATTTTTTTCAAATTGCCAGTAGTTGTAGCACCTACTTACTCCTTTCCATTCCATTATTCCAATAATGTGTGTGTGTGTGTGTGTGTGTGTGTGTGTGTGTGTGTGTGTGTGTGTGTGTGTGTGTGAGAGAGAGAGAGAGAGAGAGCTAACGTGCGTGCGTGCTCGTCCATGTTTGTGTGTGTGTCTAATTAACTATTTGTGATGTGTGTGTAAGTGCATACATGCATGTCATTAAAGCCGTGCGCATACACTGTTAATGACACGTGGGTACACCTGGAGCTAGTAAACCATAAACCAAACACATATTTAATCTTGCGTGGATATCAGCCGGTCAGGGTCCCCCATGGAGAGGCAAGCAGGAAAGACAGAAATGAATATGTAAGAAAAAGAAGGGCTGAAAGACAATCTGATAATAATACTGAGCCAAAGACCAAAACAGAAGCAAAGTTACAGCCACATACGAAAGAAGGCGAATGTGAAGGAGCAAATTAAAAGGCGGAGGAAGGGATGCTGACGGAGACTGACAGAGAAGAAAAAGATTGAAAAGTCTTCACTTGAAGAGGGTAGAGGATAGAAGGCACAGACAGAATCAGACCAACAGGTACTGCAAGGTATTAAGAAGTGATGAGACTCCTACATGAGCTGAATGTAACAAAATCAATGGGACAACATATCTCCACGAATGCTGAGAGAAGGGGCAAAACAACTATGTGATCCTCTAGCCTCTTCATTTAGGGCAACTGCTAGAAAATCGGAAAAATGGCAAGAGGCCCTAAATTAAAGGCCAGTAGTCTAACTGCATACTTTTAAAAAATTTCTGGGAAGATAGTAAGGAAACAGATTTTGGATACTTGGAAAAAAAGAAATTTCTTTACAAAAAAAATGAATTTAGGGGGGAAAACCTGTCTTGGGAACTGTCGGAATTTAAAAAAGACGCCACAATAATGCAACAAGAAAGGGGATTCGCTAGTCTAGAAAAAGAAAACGAGCAGGACTAAAAGGCAGAGGATCGGCGTTAGGACCGCTGCTGTTTTTAATATACGTGAATGACTTAACAGAAGGGATTGAGTCCTGTGTGTCACTTTTGCTGACAACGTATAACTATTGAGAAGAATAAGAAGGTAACACTCCAGAGAGACTTCATCAGGCTGGAGATGTGGTCAAACAAGTGGCTACTCAGGTTCGCCCAAGTAAATACAAGTTCATGCGCTTTCGAGAAGGTGAGGGCAGACCGGACACAGAGTACAACATCAGCGGAGAGAAACTGCAGATATCATATTTACACTTGAAGCTGCAAAATGAGTTTGCTTCCACAGCCTCATCCAAGTCCTTCCACTTTTCAATCACCCTCATACCTCTGGCTTAGCTTTGTATGTGTGTGTGTGTGTGTGTGTGTGTGTGTGTGTGTGTGTGTGCACTCACCTAGTTGTACTCATCTAGTTGTGGTTGCAGGGGTCGAGTCACAGCTCCTGGCCCCAACTCTTCACTGGCCGTTACTAGGTCACTCTTCATGTTCCACGAACTTTATCATACCTCTTCTTAAAGCTATGTATGGATCCTGCCTCCACTACATCACTTCCCAGACTATTCCACTTCCTGACAACTCTGTGGCTGAAGAAATACTTCCTAACACCCCTATGATTCATCTGAGTCTTCAGCTTCCAACTGTGACCCCTTGTTGCTGTGTCCCCTCTCTGGAACATTCTGTCTCTATCCACCTTGTCGATTCCTCTTGGTATTTTATATGTCGCAATCATATCCCCCTATCTCTCCTGTCTTGCAGTGTCGTCAGGTCGATATCCCTTAACCTCTCCTCGTTGGGCATTTTCCTTAGCTCCTGGACTAGTCTTGTTGCAAACCTTTGCACTTTCTCTAATTTCCTTACGTGCTTGCCTAGGTTCGTGTGTGTGTGTGTGTGTGTGTGTGTGTGTGTGTGTGTGTGGTGTGTGTGTGTGTGTGTGTGTGTGTGTGATCGTATAAAGCTGAGTACACAGTACACACAAGAAAATGGTGACCATGTCATTTTCTCCCTGGGAAGATCAAACAGAGAAACTCAGTGTTATCAAGTTGATGTACCCGGGAAGACACATCATCGCTACCACCAACACCAGCACCACCAACACCAGCACCACCAACACCAGCACCACCAACACCAGCACCAGCACTACTAGTGCACTCTCCAACATAATTACCACTGCCACTACGAAAACTACTGCCACCACTCTCACCCACCACCACCACTTTCAACACCACCACCCACCACCACTTTCAACACCACCACTTTCACCACCACCCACCACCACTTTCAACACCACTTTCACCACCACCCACCACCACTTTCAACACCACCACTTTCACCACCACCCACCACCACTTTCAACACCACCACCCA